TAACCAGTTTTTATTAACTGTTATGTGTGTGGCCACCAGATTTCCGGAGGCGATTCCGTTAAGAAAAATCACTGCGCCTGTTGTCAGCAAAGCATTGGTGAAGTTCTTCTCCACGTTTGGACTCCCAAAAATAGTGCAAACTGATCAAGGTACAAATTTTTTATCGAAACTTTTTAAACAAGTACTTGAATCACTGGCAATTTCTCACCGAGTCTCAAGTGTGTACCACCCGCAGAGCCAGGGGGCACTTGAGCGCTTTCACCAAACCCTTAAATCAATGCTTAGGAAATATTGCCAGGACACTGCTAAAGAATGGGATGAGGGGGTTCCCTTAGTTTTATTTGCTCTCAGAGAAACCGTTCAAGAATCCCTTGGTTTTAGCCCAGCCGAACTTGTGTTCGAACACCAAGTTAGAGGTCCGTTGAAGGTTCTTAAAGAACGGATTTTGGCGCCCAATTCGAATTTCAAACACTAGTGTACTGGATTATGTGAGCCAGTTTCGAGATCGTCTACATACTGCTTGGTCGCTGGCTAGTTCGTCTTCATAGTGCTTGGTCACTAGCTAGAGAATCGCTTGCCAGTGCTCAGAAAGACATGAAGAGTAAATATGATAAGCAAGCGGTAGCGCGATCATTTCAACCTGGTGACGAAGTGCTTGTGTTGTTACCTGTCCCAGGATCATCTTTGTCTGCTCGTTTCTTTGGTCCCTATGTTGTGAAAAAGAGAATGAGTGAAACTGATTATATGTTGTACACACCTGATCGAAAACGAAAAACCCCTTTTTGTCATCTAAACATGTTAAAAGCTTATCATACCAGAGAGTCGCCAACGCCAACGGCCGGTGCTGTGGAACAGACTGCAGGGCCCGTTGTCTCTTCTGTTGCGCTAGCCGTGGATCTGGCGCCATCTCCTGTTACCTTGGGTGCGGACACAGATGGTGTGGTGCTTCTTCATACTTTTCAGCAGTGTGCAAGGTTAGCAAATTCAGAGATTTTAGAAGATCTTCACTCATATCTTAATCATTTGACCGTGGATCAGAGAATAGACATTGAAAAATTACTTTCTGATTCTAAATGTCTGTTTGGTGATGTTCCTACACAAACAAATGTCCTGAAACACGATATTAATGTGAACGGAGCTCGTCCTATTAAGCAACATGCTTACCGCGTAAACTCAATGAAAAGATCTGTTATGCATCAAGAGGTAGAGTATTTGCTGGAAAATGATTTGGCCAAGTTCAGTTGCAGTCTCTGGAGTTCTCCGTGCCTACTTGTTCCCAAACCCGATGGCACATTCAGATTCTGCACAGATTACCGTAAGGTAAATGCTGTGACTGTGCCTCTTGGTTTTAGCCCAGCGTAAGGTAAATGCTGTGACTGTGCCAGACAGTTACCCGTTACCTCGAATGGAGGATTGTATAGATAACATCGTTTCTGCATGTTTCGTTACAAAGCTTGATATGCTGAAAGGATATTGGCAAGTTCCACTCACCTCACAAGCTTCGGAGATTTCAGCCTTTGTAACCCCAGATAACTTCCCCCAGTATACGGCGATGGCTTTTGGGCTTAGAAATGCCCCAGCAAC